CCATTCATGTTTGCTTGCAGCCGTCAAGTTGACTGGGAAACCTGAACTCAGGGTCTGGCCCCCGGGTGTTTACACAATATCAGACGTTATTGCAGGGCTTCGTGCTGCTCTAGGGCTGGGTTTTCTATTAATTCCGGGTTAGGCCTTTGGTTCATTCTCCTTCTCAGATGTATGCTGCTCTTGTTTTAGCAAAAGTTGCTCTTCCTGTTTGCAAAAGAACCAGACTGTGGAGGAGGGCAGGAGAGGGTTCCAATTGAGAGTGAGAGAGAGAGAGAGAGAGAGAGAGAGAGAGAGAGAGAGAGAAAGCGTAAGCGTGCTCAGTATCTTTATAGAGGCAACACTTCCCACTGTGGTGAGTCAAAACTATCTGGTATATGGCTCCTCTTATGCCAGGGTTTACCCCCAGATTGAGAGGTTTCCAATTCCTCCAACTCTCACTCTCATTGGCTTTTAAACTCACACAAGCTTCCCGAGCTAAAAATGGGTAAGTACCCCTGCATATCCACACAAGACATATTCAAATGTCCATATAATCAGGGAAAGGCAGGACAGGGTAGTGGAAAGAGAGTGGGTGTGGTTTGTTAGAAGATACTCAAACTGCAGCCCTGAGGCTTTCTCTATCTGCTGAGGGACTTTGAACAGAAGTCATTTAATCTCCCATTTCCCCTAACCCCAAATCTTGGAGATAACAGCACTTACCTCAGATAGGTTTTAAAGAGTTAGTGACATATTGTAATATAAAATGCCTACCAAATACATTGCCTAGATCATAGTAGGTGCTCAACAAAAACAGCTCTGCTTTGCTCAGTCCTGTAAAACTGGGGCATCTACTGGACATAGTAGCTGTGTCTATTGCCTTGGACATGCCAGCCATGCCCACACTCAGAGGGATGTAGCAGGATCTGAGCAGCAAAGACTAGAGATGTGTATAGTGAAGGACGCAGGCATGGCCAGAACATACAGCAGTTGTTACAAATCATTCTTTGTCCTATCATCCCTTGAGCCAAATAACAATTTAAAAAAAAGGAGGGGAGTTCTATTGGAAAGAGCTGGGGAGCTCCTAACACAAAGGGGAGAGTGCAAACACAGTCTGCAAGGAGGATTTAGCTACTTTAGGTGGAGAAAGCATCAATTTGTCTGCAAAGAGAGGTAGCAAGTGACAGGGCTCCCCCCAAGTGAAATAAAAATAATGTGCTTGCGATCGTGCCACTGATTATAAATAGTCCATCAGCTCTGCCATGTGTCATCAGCCAGAAATATCATTAGGAAACTTTACATTTTCTGACATACCCTTTAAGAAACACAGAGCTTGGGGTGGCTGCAAAACCAGCTTGAACTTCCCAGGCAATGTTATTGATTTGTGGGCGGCAGCAGAGCCGAAGGGGAGGAAAATGACAGGACGTCACATGTCAGCAAAGACTGATTACATAAAACTCTCTTTGGAGTACCAAGGCCAGGGCTGGGAGACAATATAGCTAAAAACCTGCCATTTCCTGGTGACAGGAGCCCATTTCAGCAGCCAAAAAATCTTTCCAACAGCTTCTGTTTTGCTGGTAAATGTCTGTGTTTGTGTTGGTTGTAGGAGGGAACCTGGAAAACAAGTTAGGTTCTGGATCAGAAAATGGGTGACTTTGTTATCCTTTATAGGATGGAGGGAAAGAGAATCATGACATTGTTCCCCAAATGGAAAGCCCAAAATGACAACATCTTCCATTAGGATATTCCTTTGTGTTTTGGAAGAACAGGGTTAGAATAGGAAAGATAGGGGCAAACTTTACCAGATGTACCCTTCACCAGCCAGAATTAGTAACTAAAGGGAGACGAGAATGCTGGGCAAACTCCAGCTGCTAGGACTCTTCCCTTTCCACTTCACTGTGTAAGTGTGATGTGTGAGCAGTGTGTGTGTGTGTGTGTGTGTGTGTGTGTGTGTGTGTGTGTGTGTGTGTGTGAGAGAGAGAGAGAGAGAGAGAGAGAGGGAGAGAGAAAGAGAGAGAGGAGTGTGAATTATAAGACTTCGTCACATGTTCCAAGAAACTTCATTTTGCAAATACATAAATTCAGAGACTAATTTCATTGGTTTAAAAATATCATTTATCCTAAATTTGGCTCTACCTCATCAAGCCTAACTAAATAATTCACCTAATTAAATTCATTTTCATTATGTAAATTTCTCAATCATATTTACCTTGCATATACAAGAAGTCTTAAAAATTTGCTGTATTAAAATAATCTTATAATCACTTTTTAAACATAGTCATTCACTAAGTTCTAGGAAAGTAGTAATATGGTCAATCTATCCAGCCCAACTTAATTTGTATAAAATTAAAATGAAAAATATAAACAAAACATTCACCATTTAATTGCAAACATTAGACCTAACTCACATTGAAATAGTACCTGATTCATTATACTGATGGAATGAATATATAGTTTAGGCTTGGTGGGTCCTATATGCCCATCAGTATAATGTGGAGAAATTTATCATGCTTACCAGCAGTACATGCTCCTGATACAATACCCCCTTTCTCAAATTATTCATATATTGATGGAAACCTAAAATAAATACAGTGGGTATTATTTTTGCATTCTATATTTTATCTTTGTTTTAGACCTTTGCTTCCGAAGAAAGGAAAACATACTCAGCTTCAAGTTCCGGGAAGATTCTGAAGGTCAAGTGAGGGAAAAGACTCCATGTCAACCCACCTGTCTGTATCAGTCCCAAATCTACCATCACCTTAGCAATTAGCATTACTGTATTATCATCACCTGCTCTGGGTTTAGAGCTAGACTTCATTTAACATCAAAAATGAGGGTGCTTTTGGGAATGCTAAAAACCAGATGAACATCATTTTAGAAAGGACGAAGGGGAAAAGGATGCTGATTCTCCTTGATATAAAATAATGAACTGCAAACTCTAAAACAGAACATTGCAGTGAACGAGAAGAAGATAGAGGCAAAAACTTGCCTGTGAATTTAAAGATGTGAGATAAACTGGCAGCACAATGGAACTACCTGTGGTTAGCCTAGTTAGCTTTCTTAACATGCTTCTCACCATCATAGGAAGAATCCAGCTAAGTCTAATAAAAAAATACTCTATGGATCTAAGCATTCTCTTTTAAAATGTCCTACAGAGGACAAGTAGAAAATCCAAAAACCTAAGCTTCTTTTCTTTTAGAAACTGTTTTAGTAGTGGGAGAAAGAAAAATGAGAAAAAATTTTGTTTTAATTTTGGTGGGCACGTATCAGTAATAGGTTTCAGAACTGCAGTTAAGTGATTATAGAAAAATACAGATGAAATACATTCACAAAAAACACCAACACTTTTTTCATGGGACCAAGAGAGCCACCATGCTGGGAAAGCCCGGGGGACCCAGTCTGGAGCCTAAGCTAGTGTGTATGTATCTGCATCCCAAAAATAGATAATGTCTTATCATTTTTTCTAATAACTGATTTTTCTCCCTTTATCAGCCATAGCTCTGAGCATATAGTTATGGAAACAGTATTTTCAGAACAGAAAATTAAAACAAACTGCATTTTTGTTCCCATTTTATGAGTTTATTTTGATAACATGTTGAACAAATAAAAAATGAAATCACTGAAGTTATGTTTACTGAATCATCTTTACCAAAAAAAATAAGATAATACAAAATGAACACTGTCTTCAAAATTTAGACACTATAGCAAATAACTGGATCCTTGATGCTCAGGTGACCTACAACCCCTGTATTTGACAAGTCCCTAATAGTTCTGCCCAGCAGGCATGGGTGAGGGGTTCTCAGTTACCAATGTACGGGCAAGAAATGCATTCTTGGCAGTTAGGAATAGAAACTTATAATGCAGAATGTAGTTTCCAAGAGAAAACTGCTATATACATAATGGTTATACTTTAAAGCACTCCAGTGTATTTTGGATTAAACAGTTTTTGTTTTTAACAAGCTGTTCTTAAATCTGAACCTGAATATTTCTATTTTTATAAAGCACAGGCACATGCATACACACACATACACAAACACACAATGTGTCTTCCTACTATGACATGGCAACAAGTTTATTCTTGCAGTTTTATGTGTAAAATACAGATGAAACATGTTCACAAAACTGAGCACTTAGAAGCTGAACGACTTTGCACAAAAGCTAGCTCATAAAAGTTTGCATCCTTGTGCACAGGAGGTAATCAACATACGCTGGATAAGCGAACGAATGGGAGTATGCATTTATAGTCATTCTTCATTTCTGGAAGCATTTGACCAGATATGTTCTATATGTTTGGAGGAAGAAAGGGCAAAGAGGGGATACTGGGGGAATTCATTCTGCATTTGTGAGAAAGAGAGAACACAACAATAAACTCACACCAGGGATTAGAAAACAAAACACAAAGAAAGAATGTCCTGCATGGGTTCTCTTCTAGCACAGATCAGGTGAACAACAAAATCTACCCTTGCCCACCTTTCCACAGAGATTCTGAGTTCACATAGTGCTTTCCCATCCATTCTATTTCATGTGATTCTCACAAGATCCCTGTGTGAGAGATAATCATCATTTTACAGATGTGGAAACTGAAGTTTAGAGAAAACGGTGATTTGCCAAAGATCACAGAGCTAGATCTTAGCTTAGACCAGGCTTGGCAAACTTTTTAATGTATAGGACAAATGGTAAATAGTTTAGGCTTGGTGGGTCCTATAGTCCTTGTCATGACAACTCTGCCACTGTGTAGCAGTCATAGACAATATGTAAACAAATTAACATGGCTGTGTTCCAATAAAACTTTATCTAGAAAAACAGGC